GAACCCAATCCTCGAGGTCGGGCACCGCTTGTGGCATCCAAGGGGCAGCTGTATATCGGGAAGAGACATCAGAAAAAATCGGGAAAGGATACAAAATGCAACGTCTTATGAGAACCACTTACGGTCGAAATTCCATTCCTCGGGGAACGACATCTTCTCTTCCGGAATAAGGTCACGAGTCCTCACCCGAATATAATGCCGCATCCAACCCCGATCCTTGTCTTCGTCGACGCTCGACATCAAAGCCTTCGATGCCCGACGATGAAGTCTGATTAATCCTCAAAAGATTTGAGGCCGATATAACCATATGAGGTAATTCAGGGAAAAATCTAGCCCCCCGACTTTGATGGAGAAGAAGCGAAGTAGGATTACTATACGCCATAGAGAGGGATGAATTTGATCGAGGGTGACCTGATATCTTTTGCAAAAATCAATGATCACCAGGTCGACCGGACCCAATGTCAAGGGATAAGTGTAAACACTTAAAAATTCCTCCGCATGGGTGATGATGCTCTCTTCGGGGGATGGAATTTGCAACACAACCTCGGAACCCCAGTTGTAGTCTTTTTTAATGGCCTCGAGATGACCCTCCATTTTAAAGCACATATACATCGACATGTGCTCGCATCGACCCGGGACGGATGAAGGATTTTCAACCTTAAAATCGATCTTCAGAGTACACGGGCCGGGAACGTAGTCATAGGTGGATGGCTCCACCGGCACCTTATCGCCGGACGATCGTGAAGAAGAAGCTTTCTCCTTCTGAGGTACAGTTTTTGAAGTCTTGTCCATTGATATGAGAAGAAGAAAGACAAAGGAAAGTGAAAAATTGACGACACCAAAACTCTGGTAGCGACAAGATAGGAAGAAAAGATGAAAAAATTTAGGGAAGTGAATGCGTAAAAGTGATAAATGATAGATGGAAGAGTTATTTATAGGCTCGCATCATGACGGTTCAATATCACAGGTGGCCGACCACCATCTAACAAGCATTAAATACCTTGAAAGGCTAAATCGATGGGACAACTATCATATACGTCATAATCGATCCCTGTGAAAACGTCGGCTTATGACTCGATCGAACCACCAAAAATCACATCGATTCTCACCGAATCCTTCGTGAGAAACGAGGGGACTATCTATATACGGTCAAAATAGATTTCGGTCTTTCTACGTTCGATCGAGTTCAAGTGTTAAAAATTCGGAGTGAGATTTTGGGAGTGAGCTCTGAAGTTAGTACTAACGAGCCTCGAGTCCGAAGGTCGCTCGAGGAGTCGGCTCGATAACCTTATCGAGCCCGTGACCGAATCGATCAGCAAGGAACTGCTTCGAGGTCGAAAATGCGCGACGCCCATCCCGAAGGTCGAACTCGAGCCAAGACCGAAGGGCCCGACCCAGTAACGAGTTTGAGCCAGTATCGAGCTCACAGACAAGAGCCGTTGCAGCCGTACCAAGAGAGAGAATCTTGGCGGGAATCGAGGAAGAGACAAATCATCATGGGTCTTCCACTATATGCTTTATTTTATTATTTTTGTAATGACCCTCTACTATAAAAGGGGAAATCCTTGTAAGCTATCGACAGAGAAAAAAAGAAAACACACGGAATAGATTGGAACAAAAAGATCTTTTCTCCTATACAAAGATATCTTCTTGTGCTCGTTTTACTGGATCTTATTCATTCTTTCTGTTCATCATTGTCATTCTCATAATCAAAATACTCGTGTCGTTATCTTTATATCAAAAGGTATTGCGTATCCTTAAAATCATATATAAATTTTACATTATCCGATTTTTCGGGTAAACACTAATATCTCCAAGAGACAACTTGGAATGGGTTTCAAAAGATCTTGTGAATCATCTTACGATGCAATGTAGCAATGGGACAATTTTAAACAGAAACAAGGAACGTAACTTTTACTACTAGTTCATAAATATAGAAGGCAAGGAAAAAGTTAAATTGCCAGCTATCAGCTATAAGGAAGAAAATTAAATTCCATATAAAGAGGTAATTATTATAAACATGCGTGAGTAATTAATCCAGTAACTCATTAGGCCTTCTTTTAAGTCTTCTCTGGTAAAACCAACCAAATCGATATATTTCATTACTATAGTGCTTCCCTTTTTATTTTTAATTCCTCGTCAAAGCAATAGATTTTTCTTTGTTTCCTTTTGAAGTAGAATGTCATATCATATATAAAAAATTAAGTGGCTTATTGATATAATAAAATAATATCCTATACTGTATTAGAAACTAAGTAGCTTATGGTAGAACGAAAGCTTCAGAGTGTAGAAACGTTAAGAGTTAAGATTTCTGACTTTAATAATGTGAAAAGTGTGACCATTAAGTTTGCCAGCATTTTTCATTTAAATACATTTTGAACTTATATTAAGTGTTTAATAGGAACAAATTTTAGTTGAGGTGCTAAAAGAAAAAATCTCGGCAACTTTAAGGATCCGCTACGACAATTTTCACATGCACTATGACAACTATAATTAACTTGTAAAGTTGGGAAATGCATCCAAGACAAATAACCGATAACGTGACACTCGTTTAATGCTTGTTCAACCATGTTTCCATTTCACTTGGTTTCAAAATGCAACAAACCAACAAATTTGTAGCTCATCCGCAAAGGGTTGCTTCCTCTACCAACAAATAGAAAAGATATAAGTTCTTGGTGGGCCTTCAATTTTTCTTTTTTCAGCTGGCACAGTGGACTCAAGATTGAAAGATTAAGGAAATTGACATAGTATAACCTCTTTCAAAATAAGATTGAAAATATATATATTTTTTGTATATATATATATTTCTGTATGTTTTATACAAAAAACATACAAATTTTATATACTTTTGCGAGTACCATATGTAAATAGTTTCAGATGCGGGGTAAAAGTGATCTTTGTCTTGAAATTACTCGACCCCAAGTCCATTGACACATTAAAAGAAGTAATTAGTATCTATAATTCTATTATTTCTTTTTCTCATTTTCTGCATTTTTTTACATTCCGCATCCCAAAAGAAGGGGAAAAAATGAACAAGCCAACATATGAACAACTGGAAACTCATCAGTGGGACACCAAAAACAATTTCAAGATCACCACTGGAGGAAAAGCTGGCAACTGAAGCTTTTGCCACACGCTCGCTCTCTTTCACTCTAAAGAATGCAGAGTGAAAAGATTGACAAGAAAGAAAAAAAGAAAAAAGGATACACAAATGCACATCTTTGGTTGCTTAAGCATCAAACTCAGCTAAGGACATTTATCACTTGCCACTCACTGTCTTTCGCTTTCCTTCTAAAGCAGCTGCTCTTCCCGTCTTTGCAGATGGTGAAACCATCCCATTAGAAAGTCTCCTAGTTGGTGGTGGGGGAATCAAGCTCCTGCATTGAATTACATAGAAACAGGTTAGTGTGCATGTTGTTTCATTTGACATATTTGTTGATTTAGTTTTAGTTGGTATACTTGAGTTGGCATATAAGAAAGCATGCGTTCACAGACAATTATTGATGTTGCAGACCTAATAAATAGATAAAAAGTGTCCCTCTTGATCAATTTAAGCTTTTAGATGAGGCACACGCAAACTTCAAAAGTTGAAGTAAACTTCTTATTACGCCAATGGATGGAGATATAAGCAGCTCCTTAATGCAGGCAGTCCAAAATTAACAAGTAAAATGCACTCATGAGTTATGATACCTTATTTCTGGCTTCTTCACTTGCTTAGGACTAGGTTTTTTGAGTTTGGATCCCAGTCCATTCGGAGTCTGACTAACTTTCTGAAGATTCGGTTGCCAAGGGAATTCAAGCTCAGAAGAGTCACTTGTCGCAGTTTCCAGGTCATCCAAATCATCCACGGAACTTGCTTCAGACCGAATCCTACTTGTCTCGTAGTCTTGGCCGTCCTTTTTATTTGATGCAACTTTGTTTATAGGCTGTTCAGGATAAACCTTTGAACTCTCAGAGGAGCATTTCCTATATAACAGGCCAGATGACTGCCTGGTTTCGTCTTCCCATCCTCTTAAGGAACTACTTCTACTCAGACCATCTTGCTTGTTCACCATAATTTTGTCAACCCAATCACCAGAGACTGATTCTTTGTCGTCTTCCCTTGATGCAGGGCTATTGACTGGTGGCCAGGGAGGAGAATTCATCTGAAAGTCTTTGGGATCTAAGCTTCGCCTTCTCATTTTTGACGCGGACTTCTTTTTAACCTGAGAAAAGATTTGAAAACATCGACAACTTTGAGCTCCCGAAGCAAGTAAATTGCATAGAGTGAAAGATACCTTTGTTCCTTCTGTAATCAGAATACGAAAGGATAGCAGGGGGAAGAATGTCCTTAGCCTGATTGGTTTACTAAGCTGGAGTCAGAAAAACGCATTCCAACAAGAAGAGGAATATGTTCAAGAGGGAATCATAAGAATGGGTTAGTCGGGTAACGATTTTTGTTTCCTGGATAGATAACCGGCTAATGACTCAATCCACTCATTGGAGAATAACTAGAATGTATGCAGAAGCATACAATGAACAGTTTAACATATTTGGAAAAACCATTTTACATCTAAAATCCTACTAGATAATTTTGAGGCTTTAGAATAGTTAGTGACTTATGCAAAACAAAACTCTTGTGCAACTGGCATTGGTGTGTTTCTATTCTGTACTATAAAAATTACAATGCGCAACGAGTGAAGCATAAAATTTGAATGACTTGACTAGTTAATAATATTAAATATGAGGGTAAATGCTAGATGAGGCATATCCGAAAAAGATATACCTCTATGTTACTACCAACATCTTCTATTAGCTGTCCATGATGGCTTGAAAGGTCTCCCATACTCTGCCAACTAGAAGAAAGAGAAGATCCGCAGGATCCTGTTCTGACTCTTTCTGGAGTACATGATCTGGAAAGTGGGCGGCGCCCTTGCTCTTCCTCCTTCCTTGCTAAGGCTGCCTTAAGACTGGCAATCTGTTGAAGGGGAAAACTAATACTTAAAATCCAAATGCAATTCTTCTGGACTACATCTTTTGAAGAAAAGAATTGTCATTTTGTTATCTACATTATAGAAGGGAAAAGCAGTTCATGCCTACAAGTTCACTGATAAACCAAAAATATGGCAATTGTGAAACCTGTTCTTTTAGTTCCTTGACGTCAGAACTCTCCTTGTTGACCCGTGCAGTACCAAGCTCAACTGTAGAAACCCGTTCAGCGAATTTCAGAGTGCTGAGTGTTTCTCCAACAGCATTAAGCTCAGGACTTATATGAACAAACATCAACGTTTTTGCTTGCCCTCCTGATAGATATGAAAGCCAAAACTTGAATAGCAGAAAGAAGAGGGGGGAAAAGTTCTATGGCTACAGCACAAAGATCTTACCAAGAGAATCCTGAAGCAATTGCGTAAGCTTACTATTCCTGTAGGGAACGTGTGAGTTCTTTTGAGCAAGTGAAGATATGACATCTCCTAAAGCAGAAAGAGACTTGTTGATATGTGTAGCCTCTTTCAACCTATCACCAACTGCCTCTGACTTGTCCACTCTTTCACTTCCTGCTAGGTCAACGAGGTGCATGGAACCACGAAGAATTGCACCAGATGTCATGTTTCTTCCTTGAACATGAACTGTAAGGCAACTGCGAATATGCAAACATAAATATTTATATAGAGAGCAAAAGAACTTAAATCAGCAGTAACTTCCACCTTAAGACAGGAAAAATAGAAAAAGGACATATAAGCAGCACCTGTGAGAGCGACTACTTCTGTCGTTCATGGCAGTAGCACTCACTGCACGATTCTTGTGCCCAAGGTTCATCAGATTCATTACATCAGAAGTTGATGTTACTGGAACAAGATTTGCATCAGGTACATTGAAACCCTTCTGGGAACTATTACGAATTTCTACTGTATTTAGAAGTTAAGTTCAAACATTTAAGAGACCAAAAAGATAGAGAGCTAATAGTAATATGGAAAGGCAAAGGAATGAATGGTTGCAAAAAGGATATTTTTTGTTAACACCATCTGGGGTAAGGAGATCTCTGACTTGCTCATTATAAATCTCAACCATCTGAACTGAAATATCATAAGAAATAACATCTCTTCTCTGTTCTGAAATAAGAAATAGATCACTCAATGCCCTGTAATTCACACCAAGGGTCTCCTTCGTGAGATCTGATGGGCCAGTCTGTAGGTAAAAAAATTTAGGAACTATTAACATAATGTTTTTGCCTTTTCTCTTAACCAAGTGATATCCACTTCTATGATTAAACAGTTCAAAAATTAAGTTTAACTGCCTAACCATCGTATGTGTTTTCCCTGATCCTGTTTGTCCGTAAGCAAAGATACAAACATTGAAGCCATCAAGAACAGACCGGATCAAAGGCTGTGTATCTGCAAACACTTCCGCTGCATTGTGATAAACAGAGGCTGTTAGAATGAAATCTAAAACTGCGATATTCATGAAAAAGAAAAGTATAGGGAACTTAGCGACCTTGGGTTGCAGAAGGACCAAAGACCTTGTTAAAAGTGAATAATTTCTTTCCCTCTTTTCCATACTTTGAAGAAGTAGTTATTGTAATATTCTCGTAATCTATGTGATCCACAGTGCTTAGACCGTTTTGTTGGCCAGGCAAGAATGGTCGCACCCGGCAATACACTCTGATGTTCCCTGTCCAAATATGTAAATGTACACGCAGAATAGTGGTTAGTATCTACTAGCAGATTGCAATGAAATTAGAATTTATTTTATAAAACATTGTTTACCTTTAAGGTCTTGCACTTGATTGTAAAGCTTTCGATTTTCCTCCAGAACCTTTTGGTAACTCGAAGCAGCGTGAGCTAAACCATGCAGATGTTTACCTATTCAAAAGAGAATTTAGTTGCTAAATCCCAGTCACAATCTCAATTAGCATGAAACAGTTCTATTCGATTGTACCTAGATTGCTGACCTCCTCCTGATATTTCAGTTGAAGAAACTGCATGTCTACTTTAGCAGCACGGAGAGTAGATTTCAATTGCTACAGATTACGAACAGGGTATGTCAATCAATCAGTTGAAACCAAACGTACTTCATTCTCTGATCTGCAGAAGAACTCCTATACCTGTACTTCTCTATGCTGTTGTTCAACCAGCATCAGCTGCTTTACAACCTGTGTTGTTGATACACCATCATCTATGTTTATCCTGCCGCATATCCCTTCAGAGGCTGCTTTTTCTTCATCCTTGACCATTGCGACCTGCGTCTCCTCACGTGTAAGCTCCAAGGGAGATCCATCGGTAGTTGAAACAGCTGTCTCTTTCTGGGAGGTCTTCAACTGTCATATCACCAAAAAATTATGTAAGACCCAACTGTGAGCAAGATAGGACAGTGTGATACTTTCACCATATTTCAACTGCTAAAAAGAGCAACCTGTTCTGTCATATTTCAGATGCACGTAAGAAAACAAGAAGTTGGGAAAAAGAAGCCTCGTATAATATGTAGTAAAATGAAAACACCGGTAATGAAGGAGCCCCAACCTGTTCACTTTGGCTGGCAAGCCGATGCTCAAATTCTTCCATAACTTTGCTCAACATATTCTCCACAATCTGTCCAAAATGAGAAACTTGTTTATTTCAGGTAAGTGGACCATCAACTTTTTTGTCAAAGAACTCTATAACCAATAGGATACTAGAGGAAGAAGCCAGCTAGATCCCAAAGTTCCAAGTCTATATTCCTCTTCAGAGACATTTTCTAGAACTTTGGTCTTTGGGAGAATCTGACTGTAGGAATAAGATAACCTAGTATTGAATGATGGCATCTGTTGTACTCTATATTTCTTGGGTGATGCTCTTTCTAACTATCCATGCAAACATCAAACCTAATAGACTAGATTTACTGTCCTTACTAAGCCTTTACCCTCTGAGGGAAGCTAGAGAAGTAAGCTAACGACGTGGACCCTGTTGTGAAGATTAGCGTATTTCTCTAAGTCTGGCAGATTATTTGTCATCAGAGCTGTCTGTTGGGAATCACATTTAGAAAGATGATTATCATTCACCTTATAAAAAAAAAAGACGATTATCATTCATAATCCATTCCAACTGAACGAAGTAGCAGTAATGAAACAAAGAGCTGTATACACGAAACATATCAAAGCCTCTAGTGGAATCCCTTTTCCAAGATTGTGGAAATCAAGCTAAGATCACTTACAAATGGAACATCTTCTTGCTTCTTGTCAGAGAGAAGCTCACGAACAAGCATATGCAAGGAACCTGCGTTCACCTGGAAATGAGAGATTAAGATTTTTACCTCGTACAGCATATTTTGAGATGACAAACATTACAAAATAAGCTTACAAACCATTTCACGAGCATCATGCTCAGTGCTATCAAGAGACTTGTCGCTGATAGATGAAGTCCTTGAGATTGAATTCATGAATGGCTCAGAGTTTCTTCGGAAAAATTGCTTTCCTGCCGATGATGGTTTTGAGTTCCCACTGTATTTCCATGATCCACTTCCACCTCCTTGTTTCCACTCTGCATATGATTTCAGTGCTAGCACACAATTGACAATTCTGGAAGATTTCCCTCCCTAATTCAGGCAATGATAAAACATTTCAAACTCTGGTTCAAGAGGTGTCTTTAAGTGTTCGATCAACTAGCTTAGAGCTTTACTAACACAAGATCAAACAAACATCAAATTATCCCCAAACATCTACTTACTTTCTCCAAATCAGATGCTTCGAAAGAGGGAAGCCCCATTTCTTCTACCGCTACAAGGAAGTTGCGGACATTTTCAAAATATTGGTACGCAGAAAGAGCTGCCCCATCAGGGACATTAGCAGAATCAGGAGGTGCTTCAACTACCTAATAAACCAAAGTAGAACTAGGTCAATAACTAGCTGAAACTGATTATAGATAAAATGTTGAACCAAAGGAGCTTCATAAAACCCACTTTTTGCACGGCACCAGGCTGAATTTTATTAAGAACATTGCAAAGCACAATTCCACTGCGCAATCCAAGTCTAAAATCTTCTTCTGAAGGCTCTGCCGGCAAATCTTTAGCCGCAACCACTCCGACTGTCTTTCTGAGCCACCCTGCTGCTTCATATCTTCTCAATGCTGCATTTGTTACATTAACCAATTAAACATTCTCTGTCACAAAATCAAGATATATTTAAAAGAAAAACGAACATATTCAGGTGGGACAATGGGAACAAATATTTTTTCCTTCCCCCTTCTTTTCTTGTTTCATGTTTGATGGGAAATTCAAAAGACCGAGTATCTTGGAAAAAAACATTAAATAGACAAAAAATGTAATAGCGAAATTAGGTTCATCTCAAATAATATGCATTAATAACAACTACTTCCAACAAACGAGGCACTTAATTTCAATATAATGCATTAATTGATTCACAGTGTGAAAATAGGAAGATTAATAAATAAATAAATAAATAAATGAACAAGAACAGATAAACGATCAAAGAAAGGAATTAAGGGAAGGAAATTACAAGCTTCCTCAGCTTTGCGAGAAGCCAAATCAATGTCGCTCAGTCGCTTCCCGTGTTGTTGCAAAACATCCTCCACCACTGATGCCACAGATATTGCTAGAATCCCCTCCTCCATTGCCATTGCCCCAAAACAATTAAAAAATCAACAAAAAATGGGGAATCTCCGTTGGATGATAAAAAAATATGTACTTATCTCTGCATTATATGTACGTATTTTATGTATATACAGAGAGAAGGGTGTCAGGGGGTTTTGGTGAGAGGATCTTAATTGGGGAAGAAACAAGAACGATAACAAAATGGAAGGGAAGATATAGGAGGAAAACAATGATGATGAAACTGGGTTTGATCTTTTCTTTTTTGGGGGTCAATGAAATTTATTTTTGTGCTAAGTTAATTTTATTTCCTTTTTATTTTTTTCTGTACGTAGACTCTCTCCTCTCCCCTCCGCGCGCCATAACCATGGCCAACTTCGCTTTTTGCTCCTCTCACTCTCTCTCACACGCACGCACACTCAGTTTAGGTGTAAGAAACTACCTGCCGAACCTTATTCCGAGCCGAAAGGTTCGGGTTACTAATGGTGCCTGTATTTCTTTTTTTTCCAAATGATTTAGAAGTCTTTTTTTTTCTTTCCAACCAAACGCCAAGCAGAAGCAACTTTGAGGCCTTCTTGGCCTTTTACAATATTAAATTTAAGAAAATATCTTTTTTAGATCTATTATATGTAAATAAAAAATTTTTATGTGTAAAAGTAAATCTCTCATATGTAAAAAGAAGGTAGGATCATAAAACTAAAAACAAGTTTGTAATATGTAAATGAAAGATCCTTTATGTGTAAAAGTAAATCTCACATGTGTAAAAAGAAAAGATAGGGTCATAAAACTAAAAACAAGTTTGTAAAAGGCCAAAAAACTAATTGACCTTTTACTTTATGAAGATGAAGATTCACTTTATAGCTTACCAAATTACTTCTGTAGAAGTATTAATTCTTTTAAGATAAAAGTATCATTATAATGAAATTATATGAAACCGCCTTAATTTCATTTAGTTAGTTCTCACGTTCTCCTTTCTTGCCCCATGACTTTTTTGAATGTATTTTGTAGTTGTATAAACTTAATTAAAGTTTATCATATAAAATATTTAAAGTTATTTATTTATTTAAGTAGTACTAATTGGAAATGAATATTTATATGTCTTTGGCATAGTTTGGAACTCAAAAATCAAAGTAATAGAAATACTGGCCAAATTTCTAGCCAAACATAAAGTGTTTCTTCTCATACTGAAGAAATTAAGTACTTTCCAAATAATTTGACCAAATGCAATACTCTCCTAAAGTTTTTCTTCTGATTCGTTTGGAAAAAAATCATTTCAAAATATGCAGATTTTAAAAGTATCGCCCCTTTGATTGTAAAAGTTCATTTCAGACCAAGAAAATCATAAGCTTCTCCGATTTAGGTTAGAGGTTTAGGCCTACAAGGCTTTTTACAATATTGAATTTAAGAAAATATCTTTTTTAGATCTCTTACGTGTAAAAGAAAGATCTCTTATGTGTAAAAATAAATCTCTCGTGTATAAAAAAAAAAGAGATGAGGTCATAAAACTAAATATAAGTTTGTAATGAGCCACAAAACCAATTGACCCGCTTCGAGGCTTAAGACTTGAGGTTGTTTGATTTTTTTTTATTTTTAAAAACACTTTTAACAAAAACTTAAAAAATTGCAGTTTTTTTCTTATATTTTCCAGAACAAAACGTATTGATCGTTATTGGTTTTATTGTTTGTTAAAAGGCTTTCGAATTCCATAAAGTAATGAATCGTACCATGCTTACATATTTTTTCAAAGTACAATATTTCATTTAATTTTTAAATTTAACAAAACTCAGATAGTAAAATAAACTCGCATACACTGATAGGTGCGATAAATCTATATTGTCAGTTTTGCAGTAACACATACGTTATTGATAACTATATCTAACTGTCACTAACTTAATAGTATCCTATCTTTGTGTTAATGAAAATCTTCTAATTTAATTGTATGATTAATGCATAAAGATACTTTACTTTTAACTCAAGCATCAATTTTATTGCCTTGAGTTCTTTTTTCGTTTTGTTGAATCTTATTCTTGGCGCTTAGGTGTTTAGTATGTCTATACACCTTAACCTCTACCAGATTTTTTTTTAGTTCTTAAATATGAATATAAGTCGAAGACTTTTATTCACATTGGTTTTCTTTTCAAAAGTTTATGCGCTCGTCGTTTTCTTTTTTCTGGTTATTATTGTTTTTAGCAAGTTTTGGTCCGCTGTTTTTATGGAGGGAGTGCTCAAGACATCAAGTGCAGTAAAATGAACTAAAGATTGAAAAAATAAAAATGAATAAATCAATAGGCAATTCTTTAATTAAATATACGTTGCTTTATCTAAAATAATTGTTGAAGATAATTAAAGAAAGTTGGCAACAGAATTAAAAATAGCATGAAAAGTGAATGCCTTTACTTATGTTTAAAGACATAACGTGCTCGTATAATTAGTACAAGACTCCATTGCCTTTAGCCATTTTTCTTTAGGCATATCTTATTATTGGTGATTTTAATACTAAAGATCCATTTAATCCTGCCATGGGCATGGATAACATTGAAATATTTTTATTAGATCATTGCATTATTGTCTCATCAACACAGTTCCATCATGATCTATCTCCAAAATCTAACAATATATATTCTTGCTTCTCTTTAAAGGTGCAATATATATTCAAAAGGAGAAATACAAATGATTTAGCCAAAGAAAGCAAATGTCATATAGTTTGACTTGATCAGTATTTAGGAATCTGGTCACTTTCAAGTATCGGAACAGTTGTTACTAATGATCAACAGCCAAAGTTTCACCACACTGTCTATATCATCAACCAATATGCCCTAATTGGAATAATTCTCCTCTCTTCCCCCCTCTCCTCAATTAGTCATATTCTTGATTGACAAGAGAAGAAAAGGGAAGTAGGTTCCCTTTTGCTTTCCACAATATAATGGCATAGCTTAGTTCTTATCCTTTCTTTTAATAAAGATTGAAATTTGCTAAGAACAGTTGTCCAAATTAAACGTTCCACAATACGGTAAATTGTTGGTGACCGGCATTTAAACTTTCGTTCATATTGAAAGTTGAATATTAAAGTACTATAGTTGCTAGTGGCCGAATGTGACTTGGGCATGTTCCACTGTCTATATATTTAACTGGTGGATTAATTAGCATCTACAGCAGACATGAAAGTTCTATAGTTTGTAAGAACATTAGCACATACAATAAAGTTATGTACTACATTGTACACTTACATATAAACTTTTAATTTGTCGTATTGGTTTGCAACGTAAATGATTGTTACTGTAAACAGAAGACGGTGTTACTTTTGTTATTTAAAGAACTTTCCTAGCTATGGTCGATAGTCAGAAATATCTTAAAGCAGTGGGGAGCAGAAACTTGGAAAACTAGGGAGTATGTCACTGAAGAAGGGGTCCTTTGCATATCTGTACAGAGAGGGAAAACCATATATAATAGAGTATAAATATATAGAAATTAAAGTGGCAATAAGGTCTGTAAGAAGAAAGAAAAAGTTGATCAGCATGGAGTGTACGTAGGGAACCCTCTGGTCCAAGAAAAGTTGCATTACACTTATCTTAAATTCATACCCCTCACTTCTCAGACATGACAGGAATTAAAGAGGCATTTTCATAGACATGGCATTTGAGGCACATGCTGCATCTCACAACATGATCTACTACTGTTTTCATATCATGCTTTCATTTTCAGGTGACCAATGCAGGAATTTGCACAACAATATTGAACCACAAATATGTTTGGTCGTCACTACTTAACCTACTCTTTTTTAGGATACGAAACGAGCAGCTGAAATCATTACTTGTTCCTATCATGCATATTTGAGATAGAGCGTACAAGCTGCTAAGAATCTTACTTTTACTTAGGCTAGGCTAGAAGTAAAGAAGAGATGTGCAGTTTGAAATCTAAATTAATTTGTGGGATATATAACACGGAATCGAATATCAAATGCATTTGCGGTAATGGAATGTCCACAACTCCTACCTAATACAATTGAAATTGTGTCCTTGGTACAATATTATTGCAGAATGAACCATCATTTATACTAGAAGATCAGTCGGTTTATGGTTTCTTTAATGTACTACAAGAGATTTTTGTATGATCATTTTCTTTATTTGACTTGTAATGGTCATATATATCATACCATTTCCTCCATTTGCACAAATAGCAGATACATTAGAATTGAATTTGGACCTTTCTTGGGAAAATATTTTGAGACCTTTTTCTCTTCAAGAAATTAATTTTCCTTCAAATTTTATTAAACTGTTTATATTATTTAATTAATCAAAGCAAACAACTAAACACTTCTATCTCATAATACATTTACTCCAACGTGCATTAAGTTTAGTTTCTTCTACTGAGGTATCAACATCATTCGGTAATTTTCTTGGTCTCTTCAAAGCATGTATCCATATATTCCTGGAAATAGTAAATTTAGTATTATATCTCTGTGTCCTTATTAGTTATTACTAGGTTTGGTTTATGATAGAAATAGGTTTTAGTCCATACTCTAAACCTTTTTATTTCCATTATCACATGTTACAATTTTAAATTCTTGAAAGTATTTCTTCACTTTAAATTAGCTGTATTTTACTTTAAATGTAAAAAGTTAAAAGTCCTTCAGGAAAAACATGCAAGCTTGTAGAGACTAGTAACAGCACTTTTGGAAGATTAATTGATACATAAAAAGTACAATTATGTGTTTTTATACATATAATATGAACTATTGTAACATAACTGTTCGGCAATATTATTTGTCAGTGATATTTATTTCTCTTACAAAACGATTGCGTACATATAAAGTAAAGGTATATATATAGTCCCTTTGTTTTATTTTATATATTGATATTTGATTGAGTATCGAGTTTAAAAGAAAATAAGATTTTTGGCATCTACCAAAAGTATCATTCAAATATTTGTTTATATTTGTGTGGCTATAAAGAATATTCTCATTAAGGATAAAATAAAAAATCTAAATTAAGTTAAGAGTTTTTTGAAAAGTGTATCTAGTATTTCTTAAGAACAGATTAAAAAAGAAAAAAGTATCATATGAGGGATGAAACTACGAGTTAACAAGAGGGATTTCCTAAGGACCTTTTTTTCTCGTGGAGTCTCGGTCCTCGATTTTTGTTAGAGATACAATAGATATGCCCTACATCCAATCTCATATATGATGATTTGAACATATTTTTATCTACGTTATTTGATATAAAATATATATATATATATATATGGCATCTGATAAGGTCCTTGATTAAAATTTGAGATTTGACATTGTATACGGTCAAAATAGATTTCGGCCTTCGTACGATCGATCGAGGTCAAAACGTAACAGATCAGAGCAAGACTTTGAGATGGGTTCCAAAGATGGTACAAACAACCTTCGAGTCCGAGGGACCGA